ATGCAACAGTGGATCTGTCAACTGAGAACTCAACACTATAGGAAACCCGATCTAACACGCCCTTGAATTGTTGAACAATAATATGAACGGAACTTATGGAAAAAATCTAATCGAAAGATTAAAAATTGAAGTAGAACTGCTGTGATTCGAGAAGGGGTAAAAAATAATGCAACTCGATAGAACACCTATCGCTATGCCGTGAGAAGTTCTTTTACAAAATAAACTTTGTAAAACTGATTCAAAATAGAAAGAAGATACTCGGATCACCTTCTTTTTCTTCACGATCACCATCTTCGATAGCAAGGACTTTTGATCATTGGCACGTTTAGGTGGATCCTTGGCAAAATTCGGTTTTATATCGAACGGCTTAACATCTGGAGGATCAGGAAACTTGCATATCTGGAAAAGCTCACAAATTAGGCATTCTTCATCAAGGATATTTCTTCATTGAATAATTATCCAGGCTCCAGATAAAACTGGGCCTCCTTCCATACTGAGCCGGTGGAATTCTTATGTTTAGTGAAACTAAACAGAACAGAAGGACAGGTTTGCGCTTCCTATGTCATATCACCCCAAGCCATGGAAAATTCAAGCATTTTATAGCAAGCGAGAAAAGTGAATGAGAAAAAACTGGCGAAGAAGTCAGAGGATGTTTGACTTTGAAAGAAGAAAACGTATCAGAAGAAACGTAGAGAAACGAACTTGAAAAATTGGCGATGAAGAAGCTTAAGGAAAACTTCGAACGGACATCAAGCAAATTATATAATATGCAGATACAAAAGCGAAACGTACTTTGAATTTCTCTCTCTAGTTTTGAAAGACCACAATAAAGCAATAAGGGAATTAAAACGATAAAGTAACGTACATATCCACTTGTACCAGGTTTACTAAGATCTTCATCTTCTTCCTCCTCCTCCTTCACGTCGTCTTCTATTCGTTTCATTATCTTTCCATCAGCAGTTTTACCGTAAACCTTCCTTCAAAGTGATACGAAATAAATTTGGGAAGCACTATCAATCATGAAGCAAGCGACAAATAACTACCTGATTAGAGCCTCATCTTCCTCCTCTTGCAGTTTTAATTGCTCAGGTATTGATAGTACTGGTTTTGTGGCCTCTAGAAAACCATCCACATCTACAGCCTCTTTGTTCCTACTGATCTCTTGTAGATCTTCGAGATTTCCTGAAAAGCGTGGATCAATTACAGACAGAAAGCAGACACCCAATAGCCAGAATGGAAAGAAAACAAAGTGACTTCAAGGAACCTGGTACTGACCCATAGCTTCCATTTCTGCACGACTCAACATAGTTCGCTTTTCAAGCATTTTCATCGGATCCTTTTTGTCTTCTTCTTCTTGCGCTTCTCTAGCCTTCTCAGCATCTTGATAGAGCTTCATCGCTTCGAACAATCGAGTGGCACCGTGCTCCTGAATTTAAAGACCTTCTAGCAGGTAGGATCGTATACTTCAAAGATACTTCGAAATTAACAAAAACATCGATGAATCCAAATATTTGAAAAAAACCAAGAGGAATCCTCATCGCGTTTATTCTGCTATGAAAGGGATTAAATCAATCCAATCTTTAGAGAAGTTAAAAACTAAATAGATTTCTTCGATTAGTAAAAAATGGACGTAAATCATTATATTCTCGTTTTATTCGAATTACTTGAGTAGAATTAAGCTCTCTCCCAGCGAATACCAAACTGAGCAACTAGCCCTGAACGAACATTTTGTAATATGTCGTTCTGATGTTCACCAATGCTACGGTGCAACGATCCCAAGAAATTCCGTGCAAGTTTACACTCCGATATTACTAGAAGGACAGATGGAAGAACGATACCATCTAACCTAATTAAGGCACTGTATACCTTACTGATAACCTTACTGTTATAAAAATATGTAAACGACCAAGTGAAGGAGAACAATCAGTCGACCGTCAGCGAATTTACTCGCTTTCATACCGCCGTATTTCGGATGCCCTAAGAAAACTGGCAGACCTTCAAACAAGAAACTGTAGTGAAGACGATTATAAATGCAAAACAACAAACAATGAATTTTCTGTGAACTTACATTTTGATAATCACAATTTTCCAAATCAGTTTTGAACGTAATTTCCGCTAAGCAGTTTGGACACCTAAACGGAATAGATTCAACAAATGCTGAGCACAGAAAGTTAACAAGGTTGAAGGACATTTCTACAATTAAAAGGATAGAAGAAGGCTCAAACACGTGTTCATCAAAGTGCTTACTTGAAGTAAAACCGGAAAAGCCTGAGGCCGAGGTAATCTTCTCCCTCGACAGTTTCTCTTTTCATATTAAACTTTTTTCCTTTGTAAATATATTCGTGGCATGTATTACATTGCATATTGAATGGAGTCATTACTCGTTGAACGAATTGCCTGAAATGAACAAAGTTGAAATTCAGAGTCATTAGTCAGAAAAGTCAAGAAACCTTGAAATCCGTTATAAAAGTGAACTCAGTGAAGAGTTGTTTTTTACACAAAGTGTATTTAACCATGTTTTTATTCGTCATATATGTACCGACAGGTAATGAGGACCTGCACATTTGATGAGTGAAGATTTCATAACGGTTTATCTTATCCAGAACTTCAATGGGTAAGTTAGATACATGGTGAGTAGAGTGTAGTGATTCGTTTGTGCATGGTGTGCATGGTGTAGTACAAGTTGTTTCTTAGTATGCATCAATTTTGTGCGTAATCCAGAAAAGCTATACCAAAACTGGTAAAGGCTGATCTTACGTCAATCGAGATTCTGACATATCCCTGGAAGGTAAAATTTACCCCGCAAGCTAATCAAATTATAGCGCAAACATTTCTGGTGAATTTATGACTTGTACGGTGCGGTTGCTTTATTGCCGTGGAAGGTGGGTGATAAATTAAGAAACTAGTGCTTCGATCGTGATGGCTATTAAATCAGCCATACTGTTCACGA